TAAACATTACACTCTAAAATAGTTTTACTCAAAATTTCATCCATTTTTACGCATGCAATAAAAAGAAAAACGCAAAAGAAAGTATTGCATTTTTTTCGAGTAGAATTGGTGGTTCCAGAACGCTTCCTTGGGGTACACCAGACATGATGTTGATAGTGCCGGATCGAGCCGAGTTGACCGTAACATATGCGGTACGATCACACAAGTACGAATATATCCACTCTGTAATTCAACTTGCCACCTCTCTTCTACTTCGCGGGACACTGCGGTGACGTAACACTTGAGGTTCGTTGTTGTAGAACGATGCTCGATAAAGCCAAGCTGATCATCAAATCAAGAGACACATATGAAAAGGGCATACATGCTTTTTTGTAAACAAACATTTGTAGGCCCTTTTCTCGCCAACCGGGGGTCGCCCACGCAAATCAACAGCATCATCGGGAAGGAGACCCATTGAGCTGGCATCTACAGACAGCGTAACTGGCTCACAAACATCATAAAATGTCAGCACTGGAGGACACATCATCAGCCTCTTTATTTCCATAAAAGCACGTTCCTGTTCACATTCCCAACACCAGGCAACATCTTTGGCTAGGAGTTGTCGTAGTGGAGATGTAATTTCCCATAGGTTTGGGACAAACTTTACTTTTACCACTTCCACTTTTTCTTCAGCCGACATGACTTTTGACTGCATTGTTGTTAACTCATGATTACGGCACAAATCAATCACTTTTTGTAGCGTCAAGTCATCGTTCAACAGTTGTGGTACCTGTGGTAGATAGTGGTATAATTCACCCCGATGATGATTCTGTCCTTCACTAACGAGTCGTGCAACACGCTAAAGGAACACTTCTTGGCCTGCTAACGCACTCGCGTAACAAAACAATCAAATGGTTCTTCATCGTTCTGAACCAATTTGTTGAAGTTGTAGCGTTCGTAGGTTATACACGATTTTGGAGTGAAATACTCCTCAAACTTAGCCCGTAGCACTGCCAAATCATTTTCTTCTTCTGGTCTCAATCCAAACGTATCGAAAATCCGGATGCAGTCATCGCCAATTGCGCTCATCAATGTAGCCGCTTGTACAGCCGCTGGTTTATCTGACAACTGTGTTGCTGTGGAAAACCAATCGAATTGCCGGATCCATCCCTTCCACTGAACCGCCATATTGTCACCCAAGACTAGCGATTTGGGAGGTTTCAGTCCCGCTGCCGCCATTTTCCTCCAGCAAATTCACCTTTTTTTTTTTCGGAAATTCACTTTAGTATCTCGTGCGTGTGGTCCTGCATATTTCACTTTACTGACTGCTCCTGTGTGGTATCTTTTCTGTTTTTTTTCTTCGTATTCTTGCTAAAACTGATCAAATTATTCTGGGACGCGGATACCCTACTTCCACAGACAAACAGACATAACACTCGTAAGTTGTTCATCGAACAAGCATTTAACGGTCAATTTAAAAGTATCGTAGTTGGTACTACCGCCACCTGTGGCGCGCATAGTCAATTCCCTTGCGTTTGACATATACACACTACCGCCATCTGTTCAGCGTACTACCCACCACAGTGTATTCAACAGATGGCGGTAATGTTTTAGCGACGATGTTTTACAGTGAGAAATATTCAATGTGTTATGTCTGTTTATCTGTGCTACTTCTGACACCATGTAAGATACGCGAGAATAATGACGTTTATTCATCAAAGTATATCATATAGAAGGTATGCTCACATAAGGTGTGCATAGGTAGTAGTGTTTGCAGAATAATCATATATGTCACATCGGGACGCTACGTATCATGTCGTATACTGTGTACAGACGCGTTGCCTTCGCGGTCTTCCAGACAATCACCAAGGTTCGGGAGAATGATATCATGTCATTAAGACATGCTTTGCAAAATCGGAGACAAAAAGCATTGTTTCAATTGAGTTCGTAGTTTTAAAGGAATATAGTACTTACATCAGCATTAAATTAAATAAAACTATTAGAGATTCGGCTATGCAGTCTGGCGAGTTCAGACCGTAATTTTTTAACTGACCAACGTTTTGGCTGATTGTTGCATCCTTCCTCGGGGGAAATTAATTCAATCGTTATTAAATTTCCCCTGAGGAAGGCTGCCAAAAACAGTCGAAACGCTGGGCAGTCAAACTATTTGACCAACTGCAAACAAAGGTACAAAGGCGATGAATTTGGAGGATCTTGCCGTTCCTTTCATCGCACCTGCCGTCCGATACAGTATTCTAGCTTTATCTGTCTGGATTTCAACTCTAAAAGCGCAAGCCCTCAATGCAGAAAATTGTTCCAACGGTCTGATGTTTAGGGAGTTTATGGATCAACCAAAAAACTTGACACGTCAGCCAGCAATGCGTACCGGTTTTTGAATGCCACTCTCTACAAATCATACGTATTGCGTGTTCAAACGGGTCTGAGAAGTAATCCACGTGGTTTTGGCGCTTTGTTAACTCCAAACGGAAAAGTGCAGTGATCCCAACGAATGTCTATCTGAACGAATCGACTACAGCGTCAGCTACAGAGTCATGCCAGTTGTTCGCCAAGCATTTTGCATCCGTATTCGAGACGAATCCCACCTCAAACTTGGAAATCGATGAAGCCACCTGTGATACTCCCGCTGGTTTGGTTGAGATTGGGCTATTTGCTGTAAATCCAGAAATGGTCTCATTGGCTGCAAATAAGCTGAAGCGTTCGTTTGTCCCTGGTCCTGACGGTTTACCTGCAGTTATAATATCACAACCGTTAAGTGATATCTTCAATCGCTCACTTCAGCAAGCAAGATTCCTTCGCATTTGGAAGCAATCGTTTATGACACCCATTTTCAAACGTGGTTGTTGTTAACTATAGGGGAATCACGAGTCTCTCAGCTGTCTCGAAATTGTTTGAGATTATAGCGGGTGGAGATATTCCCGATGCCACAAAAAGTGACATAGCCACTGATCAATACGGATTCATGCCCGGACGATCGGTTACCACCAATTTGTTGAATTTTACGTCGAAGTGCATAACGAGTATGGAGGAAAAAGCGCAAGTCGATGTAATTTATACCGACCTGAAGGCGGCGTTCGATAAAATTGATCATAACATACTGCTACACAAGTTATCTCATCTTGAAGTTTCTATGCAATTGGTTTTTTGGTTGGAATCCTACCTTACAGAGCATGTACTTCGAGTGAAGATTGAGGATTGGGTATCTTCGCTGTTTTCAAACTAGTCTGGAGTTCCACAAAGTAGTAATCTCGGACCGTTGCTGTTTATACTGTTCTTCAACGATGCTGCCTTGGTTCTGGGCTAAGGATTCAAACGAGTCAAATTGAGTCAAAAGGATTTAAAGCTGTACATTGTGCTTCTGCAAAATTCGATGACTTTGTTTGCCGATTGGTGCCAGAGAAACAAACTGACTATTAGCGTGGAAAAATGTCAGATAATCACGTTTCACCACATGGTCATTATTACCAGAGTTACCAGTGAAATGACTTTTGATTTACACCGTTCAGCGATCATTGCGAAGGATTTTCCGGACCCACATTGTTGGAAGTCATGGTAATGTGCACTTGTCCGTTCACTTTTGGACAATGCGTCCGTCGTTTGGCATCCTCACCATGTCACGTGATGTCTAAGGATCGAACGGGTTCAGAAACGGTTCATTCGTCCGGCACTGAGAAACTTGCCGTGGAGTGATCCTGACAACTTGCCGCCGTATCCTGATAGATGCCGACTGTTGGGCTTAGACACACTGGATCAACGACGGAAAGTACAGCAATCGTTGCTTATTGCTAAGCTGTTGAATGGTGAAACTGATGCCCCCGAATTGCTTGCAGTGTTGAACTATCGTGTGCCGAGCAGATCTCTTCACCGAACCATGTTTGGGAACAACGAACCAATCTCAGCGTTTATTCGTGCGTTTACGGCTGTCGAAGAGCTTTTCGAGTTCAATGAACCAACTGGACGTTTAGCATTCGGATTAGGTATTAAATTAGCTTTAACTTTATTCACTAAGACTAACTTGTCAGATGAATTATTTTAAATACAAATACAAATACAAAAACTACGGTTTTAACTCGCCAGACAGCATAGCCAAAACTTCAATCAATCAATTACAAACAGTCGGAAAATTATCTACCGACAAACGGTTGTTAACATAATCAAGCACAACAGTTATTATAAATTCATGGTTGCCAAACTCATATATTGACGCCTTGATTGACATATTTCAGCTCATTCGGCACAGTGTAGGCACAGCTTTCGGCACACCAAAAGCACTCGACGCAGATTAAGGTGGCAGAATTGAATACCCCGTGAATATTAAAGATTCAGAGAAAAATTGGCATTTGGCATCAGATTATCAGCTTTAATAGAATACTGTGGCTGTCAGTTGCTTCGAATTATTTTCCCTGAAACGGCACTAAATTATCGTCCTGGTTATCGTTGCATGTACGAAGGCATTTCTTATGATCGCACTTAATTGTATCGCTCCACATTATTGTTGACGAAAAACTCATACTAATGCCAACGGATCCTGAAGAATCAATTCACTTAGGAGGCAACCAGCCTACATTCCCTTCCCTTAAAGTCAATCCGCTATTGGTATCCCATCTACAACATCAACTTGGCGATTCCACCTTCATGGCCATCAGCATTCACATCAGCAACAAAAAATATGAGACGATAACAGTAGCAACAGCTTTTCAACACACACAACTCAGCACATTATCGCCATCAGCAACAGGACCAACACAAATATGAACAGGCACCTTAGAATACAAGAAGAACAGCAGTTTACTGGTCCGTGCGAAATTCACTTCATGTATTATACGAATAAGGCGTAAAATTGACATTTTTCCAGATGACAGGCAATATGAATGTTTCGTAAAATTTACGAAAAATGTGTTTTATCTACGAAACCCATTTTTACGACACGAGCGTAAGAGAATTAACGAATACATATTTTCAGTGTGGCAAGGAATGTTTTGTATTTTGTATGTCGCACTTACCCCACCCTTGTTGGTCACATCCGGATCTTCGACGACGAACTTGTACCAGACGATCCAAAAGAAGCAGCTCAGCGCCAACGAGATGAACAAGTTGATGTGAATGCGTATGCGAGTACATTTCAGAGTCCTGTGGGAAATACACGGAGCAGAAGAAAGTGTAAGAAGTCGAACCGCAGAAAGTTATTCTATTTCATTGCACCATTATCATGGCAATATGGCATGTAAGGGGTGATTGGAGGGAAAAACTCGTTGGCTAGCAACACATCCGAACAAAGTGTTGATGATCGTGGCAGATGGCGTAAAATGACAACGGCAAATAGCATGCTATGAGTGGAATACTTCAAAATCACTCATTGAGTTAGTTTTGCGTCGCTATCCACTGAGAAAAAAACGACGTAATAAATGAGCAAAATGAAGCGTCATATGTGACAGATGACGTTTTTTTTGTTCACCACCTGCTGATGGGATGCGAAATCTTGTACACAACCATTGCTCACACTGGAAGTGAACTTTTGCAAAGAGAAAGTTTGTTAATGTTGTATCCCATGTGGGGATGCTTTGCATGAGCATTCAGAATATGTGTTTACATCGATTCTCGAAGGAAGGAGCACAGTAGCGATCCAAATATTGATAATAACGTGTTTTCAAATCTTCTGAATGTGAATCGAAACATCCATGTGGAAACATCTTTCTTACATAGACGGTATAACGGTACGATAAATTTTCATCGTAATTCGAAATTCAACCTCGACAAATTTGGTGGAGGTACCGTTGGGATTTGTAGCCGTAACTGCATGACTGCCACTAGGTAGATACCACTTCGACCCCCCAACAGGCGATATTCGGGCAGAAGCAATCGAAGCAAGCATTGAAAATTTATGACCGCCTTCTCCGCCTGCTTTGATCCTGGTTTTATGTATACAACATATATTTATATATGCGTAATGCAGGATCTTTCCAAATCTTCGGGGTACTCTAAACCAGCATCTGAAGATGAGCAACAGTTTTTGCCCTGAACGACGCTTTGGGGGCCCATTTACCTTCCCCATGCAAATGCGCCCTGGTTTAACCGTCGCGTCGTAGCGGTTGTAACGTCGGCAGTGATGTAATAAAAGCACATTTAGGGTTCATGTTTAAATGGTCGTTTTTAGTGGGTAGCTAATTTATTGATTGCCGCTAAACGGACCAAAGGATTAATCTGATTATTGTAATCCACCGTAATCATTAGTCAAGGGTAGGCGGTGAAAAAGAATACAACGTTCCCATTTATCCCGGTCGTCGCATTTATAATTGGAAACGACATCCCATTCAAAAGGTTTCCAGGTATCAAATAAAGTAATAACCTCCCCCAATGTTGTTCGACTAATGATCTCAGACAGAAAATCTAGAAAAAAAATACTTTTTCCCGCTTATCAATCCCAAGTCTAATAAGCATGTAACTCACCGTAACGAGATTGAAGTTTTAAAAACGACATTTTTCCACCCACAAACTTACCTAAAGCTAAAGAAGACACACAGCGATACGATGAGCGTTACGAGCGAGATGGTGTAGCCACCGATGTACAGGTCGTTCACCAACCGGCGGAACTGTTTCGTTGGTATTTGGTTTGATAAGGGCGAAATAAAGCAAAATGGAAAACGAATTAGCTATGGAAAGTGACATGATTTAGTGGTGGAAAACATAATGTACCTATATGTATATGAAGCCAAACGCGTACAAAAGCTGCCTCGTCAGAATGAGGGATAAGTGTGTTTGCGGTGTGTCGTGGATCATTTAGAATTTATAATGTAACTGCCATAGAACATTCCCATGGCAACGGTTGGGTGGAGTGACGTTTGAAATTTATAGTTACACATAGTATGAAGTTGAACGAGCGTCACCTAGAGTAGTTATGTTTTACTACATATGTCATGCTGAACAGAGTTTTTTTTTTTAATTTATTTGTATGGTGGATGATCACAAACCCCTGCTCTCCAGTGGTCGTTTTTTCTTGGTAGAGGGGCCTCAATACTATAAGTGTGCTAAATTTTAACGATTTTGGTTACGATCTGAATTTGCGGGACCACTTTAAAGTGCTTAAGAGAAAAAGTATGGGAAACTAATTGTTTTGCAATAAATTATTATAAAACTACTTAACCGGGAAGCGGAGGCCTCCGTAGTGAAGGCCTCCGCGGTGCCGAAGCACCAGCGATGAAAACTAATTCTCTTCGATAGAGGGTGCGTTTTCCTTAATTGGAAGAACGCAGATTTTCGATCCACTCGGTTTGATTGATCCTATAGTGTTCCAAGCTAAAATATTCCTACAAAGGCTATGGAAGGAAAAATGCGACTGGGACGACTGTTACCTTAGGATCTGCAGAGTTTCTGGTTGGAATATCAACGTAATCTAATGGCTTTGGACACACTCACTGTTCGGACCGAATAAAAGAAACCGTTCTTGAATCAACCTTCTCTTGCAGGTAAATCACATTGCAATTTTTATGAGAAAGTCATTGAAATTAGTACAGTGTTTTCATGAATTTTAGTGTTCGTATTACTCACAATTTTAGTTTGTTTTCCACCTCTAAACTTTCCAATCTCGCTTCCAATACTATGCCTGACACAATTAACGCGCATTAATTTGATTTATTTTCAACGTTTTCTGCATGTTGTACCTATCTGCCAATCTATCTTGTCGATTCGTCTATCATCGACTAACCTCCTCTTTGTGTCGTAAAAAACTGTAATTTATTTTTTTCGTTCTAAACGTGTTTCAATCTTTGTATGTTGAACTAACCTGGTGTATTAAACTGCAGTCGTTTAATTATTTTAAATTCCAAAAAAATGCACCAAAATTTTACCCTTTTCCAACAAAACACACTCTAAATCTCAATTGACAAAGAAATTGAACTTCAGCCATTATTTTCAATTTGTTTACTTCTCCTCTGCACGACTTCCGTCAGATCAGCTTCTAACTATCTCATCTCTCTTTCTCACACCCGTTACTTATACTTCGGCCGATCGCGAGGTGGAACGGTCCGTGTTGCCAGAACACTCACTGTACCTCGATGGGTTTCCTTCACTCAAGACCTAGCCACTTTAGAAGTACATGGTTTCTGCGATGCCTCGCAAGTAGCCTATGGAGCATGCTTGTTTTTCCGCTGCGTTGCCACTGACGGATCGATTACTTTTCTGCCAAGTCGAAAGTTGTATCACTCGAAGACTATGGAAAACGAAAGAAAAAGACTCAATCTATACCACGGTTCTTGGTTATGTGCTGGATTTCCGACACCCGGTTGGCGACGTAATTTGCCAGCGAGATGGTGGAGATGCTAACCAATACTTTGCGATTGACGAATCGGTCCAAAAGTACGGTTGTAACGGAATCTGGATGCTGCTGCAGAAGTTCTTCAATATCATCGTGGACTGTGGACTCGATATTCAGGAACAATGACCAAATTTTGGGAACTGGAATCCTGCAACAACAGAAACACGCTATCTGTAGAGGAATCTATGTGCGAAGAAATCTTCGAGCAAACTTCCACACGGGATCAGGATGGTAGATTTGTAGTTACCCTCCCAAAAAAGGAAGCTGTGATTCAGCAGCTTGGAGATTCAAGAACCAGCACTCTAAAACGTTTCTATGGGCTTAAGCGTCGGTTCACGTCGAATAGCACATTGAAGGATCTATATTGTGATTTCACCGACGACTATTTGTCTATGGTTCATATGAAGAAAGTTTCTGTAGCTCATAAGGTTTTCGGCAATGGTGGGGCCAACTTCTTTTGATACTTTTACCAACTGTTTTTTTTTTCAAAGGCTGCTCGGTCTCCAACACCGTAGGTGTTTTACGAAGTGTGCCCTTCATGAGAGCCCAAAACTTCTCAATCGGGCGAGTTCCGTAAGTTGACGTCTTTGGTACAGAGGCATCAGTCTAACAGTGGCATGAAGTCAAATCCGGCCAAAACAGCGTCTCGCCTCCTTGAGACCGCAGAAAGTGTAGAAGGCGCTTCTGGAAGCACTCGTCCCGATAGATTTTCCCGTTGATAGTACCCGTTGTGATGTACGGCTGGCTCATCTTGCCGCACCCACAGGTGGCCTGCCAAACCACACACTTAATCTAGCTCGGTAAAATCTCCAACAGCCGATTACTTCGGCAGTAAATTTTGCTGATATCTCTGCAAAATATCTGTTTGTTAGCTGATATCTCAGCAAAATGTTATTTGTTAGCTGAGTCTCGGCAATTGTTTTACTGAATCTCAGCAAAATAAATTGCAGAACAACTCGGCTGTTGGAATCTCGGCGAAAAAATTTAAGTATGCAAGAACTTTTAGTGAATTTGTCCACCTTCTTTTTACTTAACTCCTCAGGAACGGCCAACCGTTATGTGGCAACGTAAAACTCCTGCTCCGGCAACTGCTCTGTGTCTCGTCGTCCATCACGGCGCACCTCCGTTTCATCAGCTACTCCCGATATAGCTTTCTGGTGCGAGTTGTGGCCACCGTGTTTTGTTTGTCCGGGTCGGTGCCTTCCGGACCCTGTATACGTGGATGCCGGCACGTTTCCTCGTTTTCTGGACAAACCAAATGGAAACATCCGCCTACTTCACCGCATCACGGATCAAAAGATTAGGCCGACGCTTAAACAGACTCAACACCTTCACCGGGTCAGCTGTCTTCAGTTTTCTGGCGCTGGGTCGTCTGGGTCTCCTAGAATGACTTCACCACCGGGGAAATCGTCGGATTCCCAGGTGTTTCCCGATCCATCTGTCGGACGCAGTCGGATTTTCCACGACGGAGCACCAGGCTTGCAATTGCTCATTACAGCTAAAATGCTAGTTTTTGAATCATACACACACTTTAGTTTCTTTTCTTGCATCTTGTAAATAAGAATTATCATTAAAATATCTCATAGCATCATAAATCCGAAAAATAGCATTTTAGCTGTAATGAGCATTTGCAAGCTTGTGGAGCACAAGATTTTTTGGCGGATCTGCTCTTGCTCCGGTGCCATCTCGATAACCACTTGACAGATTGTGATGAAATTCTGCCAGCGTAAACATTACACTCTAAGCTAGTTTCAGTCAAAATTTCATCGATTTTTACCCACACGCTAAAAAGTTACAAACTAATCAATGTGTCTCACTTTTTTCGAATACAGTCTTTATTTTAAGTCCATTAAACTTTTCAGAACATTGAAGTTAAATGAACATTTTTGAAATTTAATAAAAATAAAAAAATTTCTTAAATTAAAAGAAGCTGCCCAAACTTTTATGAGCTTCCCAGATTTATAAGCTTTTCCCTCAATTTCTTCAATTTTCTCTGAATTTATTCTCTACGATGCTTCTTGAAGGCCTTTGAAGTCTATGAATTTGAATGCTTTTAAAAGTTTGGGGAACCTAATTGTAGTTAAGAGAATTTTGTTTAATCTGCAAAACTTCATTAATTATTCAGTTTAATGAACTTGAAATCGATTAGGAAATTCGGTGAAAATTCGGGAATGTTTGAAGAACTTTAAAAAATTCCGCAGAAAATCAACGAAACTGTGACTTTAAATTTTTACCTAGGGATGAGTACTTAAGGGGCTTAGGTTTTTGTTAAGTCTTTAGTGGGAATGACACTGATGAAGACTGCACATTGTAGTCGAAATACGTATCGGTCATGGATATCAACATTATTTAAGTGGAATTAAATGGAAGATAATCTTTTTTGCTGTTTTATTTAAGCATTCCGCTAAGAACCCAATTTCATTACTTCAACGAAACTGTTAGAAGTCCAGAGAGCTTTACAGACGGGGTGAAATTAATAGGAATTCAACGCTCTTTGACATGAGAATTGCATACGTAGCACTCCGGAGAACATCGCAAAACTTCATAGTGCAGCTATTATTGTTTAAGTTCAAGGACCTTTATAGAAATTCTTCCAAATTTGTAGCAATTTATGGAATTTAATTATAACTCAGGTAGTATTTAAGACGTTCAGCATACTTTTTAAAACTTGGGTTTGACTTATGAACTTACTGGAAGCTTTGGGATCATTGTTTCGAAACTCATAGGAAAGGTTCAGGGTCATTTCTGAACGTTGGAGAAGGACATAGATGCTCTACGATCCTGGATGAATGGAGAGAATGTGTAAAAGTAATAATTATGAATCTTGGAAGCAGATGAAGAATCCTCGTAGAAGTTGAGAACATTTTCGATTAAGGTTACTGATATTCGCTTCATTTCTCTTATATTCGTTCATCGTATGCGACGGTATCTCAGCAAAACTCTTGAATTATGTGGATGCCCACATAAAAACAAATCGTAAAGAATGCTCGGTGTGTGGCGAGATGGACCGTGAGCGGTCTTAGCCGTCCAAAATAAGGACAACACAAAGAAAAAAAAAAGAATGCTCGGTGAGTGAGGAGTGTGAGTGCCGATGCACCACTCAAACCTTCGGGCTGCGTGCTCTTCTTCTCTTCGTCGTTCGCATCGCAAGCGGTGGAGAGCGTTCTTCGTATGCTTTAAGGTGTTTTCAGATCTGAGCGATATTTCACACGCGGAGCGAGATTTTGCGAAGTTAAGAGAGGGAGAAGAGTACCAGTTGTCTCTCTCATTTCAACGCAA